AGAGAGTAGAAAATTTGGGGTGATGACAGTTTTTGGAAATAGTGGTGATGGTTGCACAATACTGTGGATGTAATTAATGCCACTGAATTGTACACTTAAAGTAGAAATTTGGAAAGACTATCTAAAGCAGTTGAGTTCCAGGAGCATTTAACAAGAACTCCAGAAAGTTAATTCTGGCCTGAAATGTCTCTAAGCTTAAAGATTAAAAGGGTCCTTGAAACATCTAAATGTTTTGACCCCGAAATAACACAGTAAACATTTTAAATTGGAAATTAACAATTCCTCTTCCATATTTTTTCTAACCTTGTTATATTTCCCTGTATTGTGTTTGTCACCAAAACTATGAAGTTACCATAGCTAGTCATCTTAGGATTTTACAAAGGGAAGGATAGGCTTAGAGAAGATGCCTTTCCTAACTAAGGTCATACAGCTAAAAGGGACATAGGAGCTCTCCTGGGTCCCAGTACAGTTCTTACTGAATCATGACTCGTTAATTACATAATTATTTAATGAGCATCTCTTGTGTACTAGGCACTGGGAATATAACAACACAACAGATTCCACGTCCTTTCTCAGTGTATAGTTTAGAAGAAAAGAGAGCCTGGCAATTATCATACAGTGTAACTAGGTGGGTTAGAGTTCACAGGACTATGGGAACACTTCAGAGGGGCCATTTGAAACAACAGATAGCATTCAGAAACACCTGCTCTCTTACACAGTAACTGTGTAAGTAAAACTTCAGCTTTTTATCTACTTTGGGAACCTGCTAATTTTCAAAGACCTCAGCCATTCACAGCCTCAAACCAGCCACTTCTAGCTGGTATTTGCAAACTTAACCAGCTCTGGAAAGAACTCCTGTTTCCCAGCTGTGAAAACAGATCTGCCAGTCTTCCTTCATGGGCGAACCGAAGTCCAGGACATGACAGAGTTCCTGATGCAAGGTAGCTGCCGAGTAAATGTTCAGTGAGTGAGCTGAAGCTCTCCCAATGCAGCTCCTCCTGAACTGAACCAGTTTTGCTTCTGCTGCATTACTTAACCTACATAGGATTTCCTGGTATTTCTGTGGCCTGGGCATTGGTACTGTTAGTTTATTATCCTTTAGTAACTGAACATGAACATTCTGGAAAAAAAAGTTTTATTTTTGTCCTAAAACATGGTATCTCAAACTCCCGTATCTAGAACTGTTACGAGGAGCACACATACTCCTCTGGTAATGTTTTTTGAAGGGTGACACTGAAGCTACAGAAATACATAATTAGGTATGTTCGCACTATTTTGTGACGTTATGTAAGTTTTTAGTTTGATAGGATCTTTTGGTATCATTCTTCAAGGGCACTTAAATATTTGTTATTTTATCTTAACTTTCAGGTAAAGAAGACACTCCCTCATTACTCGGTCTCTGTGGATCTCTAACGTCAGTGGCAAGTTACAAATCTCTAACAAGTCTCAAATCTAATGACTACCTTGCAAGTCCCACAACAGAGATGACGAGTCCAGGCTTAACTCCATCCTGAAGAATTTTATGTCAGAGCCAGAAGTTTTTATGTTGCAAATGTTCTGTTTACATAAGTTTGACTGCTGGGAAAACCTTTGGAATTTTATATTGTTCTGGCATATGTCTGGAATTCTATTGCTTCTATTAGAGAATTCAGTCCACTCCACGTGCCCTTCTGAGTGAAAATGATCCTGCCATTTTAAGATTCTTATATTTGTCACTGAGGAAGTTTAAAAATGGATAGGCTTAAAAAACTTTCAAATATCCTCTAAATTAATAATCCATTGCAAATTGTGATGTATATTTTTCAGCTGATTTTCATATATTTAAATGTACCATATAGAGACGGAGTTCAAGGTTTTATTCCAGAGACATAAGCTAAGTATTTTCTTTTACTCTTTTATTCAAAGATTACATTTTCTAAAAATGACTTGTTAATTTCATTTTTCATTCATTTCTTCCTAGGTTCTGATGTTTAAATAACTTGTTTTTCATATGAGGAGGAGGTTCTCAGCTGGTTTCATAGTGGCTTACTCAGTTTTTCTTTAATAGTTATCATTTGGTACAACATTCCATTAACATTTTATAAATTTTGTAGGAATGTGTCTTTAGGCCATTACTAAATTTGTCAGGGTCATAGGGAAAGTATTTTACACCATTTTGGTAAAATGAATAAATTGTTTTCCCAAGATTTTCTTAAAGTGTTATTTTAAAAATATCAAATATTCCTCAGTAGTTGGAAACATTTAAAAACGTAGAACAGATGTTGGAAAGTATTTTATTAGGAAAGATTCCAAGTTCATTTAAGGATTTGAGAACCTTCAAGTAAGGATCAGTGGAGTCTCACCATACTCAACAATATGTCTGACATACAGTGCTGTTTTGTTCTCCCTTGTGCGCAGCAATGAATCATGCCATGTTAATGTTAAAAACTGATGTAATGTTCGAAATCCCTACACATCTACAGGTAAAAAAAAATTAGTTTTCTTTTTAAAAAAGTTATGCGCTATAAAACCTTTTTGCAGTTTTTGGAACTATGTATTTCATCCATCAAAATCCAACCATATTGAAAGAGAAAATGTATGAAGTGTATTTTCTAATAGTGCTATGAGGAAAATATGATCAGTTGTGCCAAAGAAGTTTTATACATTGTTTACATGAAGAGGACACAATATTTAATGGGACTTCATATGCTATTTTTGTTTATTAATAAAACATTCAAACTCAGTAGCTTGGACATGTAGGAACAGTGTTCCCCCTACAACAATTTATTTTATTCAGAGGAGGCAAGAGCGCTGAACTTATTACATCATTCTTTGTATTAGAAATGTAGGAGTGTGGTGGTTCTCTGCAATATTTAGAGCTTTATTCTCATAATTTGGGATTTAAGATAATAGATAATAATTAGGCCAGTCTTATATGCAAGACAGTTCAAACAAAGTCATTTAAGGGACAAAGGAGGCCTGGAAGCCATTAAAATAAGTTATTCTAGATGTACCAGAACATACTCAGAGCTTTATTCCTTTAGCTTAAGGCTTTAGTACTTGTAAAAATGCAAATATTCTTGAAAAATGGTACCTTTAACAATTTACTGATACCTACTCTTAATTCTGTATACTTTCTTATGAGTGAGGTATCCAAAGCAATTTTTAATGAGCATGGGGATGGAAGGAAGATACAAAGTGAGGACAGTGGAAACCTTGGGAGGAGGGAGTAGGAAGTGGCTAAGGAGGGGAACTTGAAAATTTTTAGGTTGGCCTTAAGCAATTGCTGCTTTCCTAAAAAACGATCAGAATGTTTAAAATGCTTTATCATTCATGGTCCACTCTCAACTGACATTTATTTTCCTCAGTAATTAAAAAAAATCATTGTTAAATTTTTTCCATACATTTTTATAATATAGGAAGGAAATTCAAGATTCCATAATTGATAACATTTTCCAGATTTGTCTAATGCATACAGTAACTTGTGCATCTTAACATGCTGCTAAATGCAGATTTAAACATGACATCTGAGGATCATGACTTTTCCTCCTTTCTTGGAGCTCTTGGTATAAAATTCATCTGCTAATGTGAATTCAGGTTTCTAATACATTTCATTTCACACTAGTTATACATGTAGTTAATGTTTGCATGAGGAAACAATGTATGTCTCAATCTTTAATTTTAGATGGTAGTGTTTACTGTTTTACACACCCTACCCAAAACAGAATGCTGAATTATATGCTAATACTTCCATGTGTATTTTGTTGCCTTGATGTACTATATTTGTTGCATGTATATTAAACGTTTTGTACCATGCATTAGTGCTTATATTTTTACCTTCAAGACAAGTTACTGGATTCAAGCTGTACACTGAACTTTTTGTTTTAGCAAATATGGTAAATGTATATTACTCAACACCTAAAATACTAATACGACAAAAGGTCTTTATTTCAACTCAAATACCCTTTTATTTAAAAAAAAATTACATGATCTGCTTTATAATACACAGTTATCTGTTGAAGTTGTACAATACAGTAGTGATTTTGGTAGTTGCTAACATAATTATATAAGAGCCATGTTTGTTTTCTCACCTATAAAATGGAAACATCATCATCTTCTCAGAACCTATGATGGCATCAAGATGATGTCAGCATTAAATGAAATAAACTAAGTTTTTATTTAAGTCGTATTTATTAGATTTACACACAAGTTTTCACGTGGTTAAAAGTGTGTCTCAAATTGACAACTTAGGGAAATTCTTGGTCAAAGTTCCTACCGTAATGTTGGATTCCCTCTGAAATGTCACACAAGTGCTTTGAACATCAGGGCTCTTAAGTATTTTTTAACTGGTTTCCTTTGTTCTTCTGGAAGCAAAGCAATTTTTATTTTTTAGCATTAGTTCTTTTTAACTGATGATAGGAAGGGGCAGATAAAAATTACATCAATGTTATTATGGTCCTTTTTCAAAGTCTATTCTGGTACAAACCAATCCTTACTATATAAGTCCCCATTTTCTATAGTGCTGATGATTTCTCTAAAACCCAACTGAAGCCAAAGTTTCACTACATAAGACTCAGCCTTACTACATGTGACACATTCTGGGGTGTGCTGTGCTGTGCTAAACTATGCTACCCTCTTTTCTTTTCAGTTAAAATAATTGCTGGTCTTGGGGAAAAAAAACAAAAAACAAAACCACCAAACCCAACTCTATAATTCTTAGACCTGTGCCAAAAATGCTTGGTTTCCAGTTGCCTTCCTGTTTTTCCTTCCGTGGGACTAACTTCCGTTGCCTGACTGAGACTCCCCTGTCCAGGTACGTTTAATTGTCTTTATCTTAGGAGCATTTCCTGACATTCCCCGCAAGCTCAGTGGAGAATCCCTCAGCGCTCCCAGCACTCCCTCTGCAGCCCTCTGTCAATCACAGCTCTGCCAACTTTATAGCCAGTGAGTATCTGAAGCACTTCCTATCTCCAGTGCTTCTTAAACTTGAGCTGGCCACAGAAAAGATCGGAGATGTCAAATGATAGGTTAAAATTTATTTTAAAAGTTTATTTTGGAAAAAAAATTAAAACCTGATATACTAAACTTTCCCATATCCCTGGAATTCATGCTCCAGAAAGAGAGAAGAATTTAAAGGAGTCATGTGATTAAATAAGCACAGTGAATAGTTTCCTAGAAATAAAAAATTTATTTTAACTTCATATCTACTTGTTCAAAAAGTCAAATGTGTATTATATGGAAGGTGGCAAACATGTAAAACTTGCATTTCTTTTTTAAAAATATACACATAAGGAAGTAAATGTATTTGTTAGAAAATTTCACGCAGATCGAAACTATCTGCTTTCAGAAACATGACCAAGAATATAATTTCTAGCCAAGTGCTTTTGTTGCTACTATTTTTTTTGTTTAAATAAGGCATTAATGCTTCTTTACCACTTAAGTATAAAGAAAGCTTCAATTCACCCTTTTCATCCAGATACATGGCTGTAATATGTACTAGAAAAGCTACTAGGGAATTAGATTTGTTTATTTTAGGCATAAATGGTAAGAATTTTCCATAAGTGCAGTCCGTTTTGGGGGTGGGAGGGTGATGGGGATTTCCCTACTGGTTATTTCTATTAAGTTGAAATATGTGACTGCTTCTTAATAATTATAAATTTAAATTTTTCTCTTTTCTACCAGTTACCAAAAAGAAGCATAACAGAACAAAGGTAAATTTAAATTTAATACTGTTAGACAGCAGTGTTCAAGATAAACTTTCTTATATAAAATACAGCATTAACATAATGATTTTATATGAAAATATTTAGCTTGACGCACAGTGATAATTTTAAGAAAGCATAAACATTTATGATTTTATAGATATGTGTGTTAAAAATTTAAGGTAAATCAACACAGGATAAAGTAGACACAAAAGATTACATACAAACCCTATATAGTTTATTTCTGACAAAACATATGAACTCTTTTCTACTAAAATACAAAATAAATAATTCCTCTACCAACACTAGAGATCTGTCACCTAACTATATTACTCTATTTTAGGGAAAAAAAAACAACAACTTCACATTGTCATAGCATACACACAGACTGCAATAAAGTGCTTTTTCTTATAGGATATAGATCCTGAGAAAATAAATCAAAAACAAAAATAACAGAACATTTCCATCCGTCCAGCATAGTCCTGTTTCATTCCTACAGCCACGAGCTACATTACTGAGCCATTTGCCTGTAGTGAATAAAGCTGTTTCTTCAAGGAAACAGCGGTCTCTTTAGTCTCTTGATGTAGCATACTAACATGAGATGTGTACAATCAAGGGACATTGTGGAAGTAAGTACTTGTGGCTTATATTGTGTTAATCTCAGTGTTGTTAGAAGAAGACAATACGTGTGACCTCGAGAGCTCCACAAACAGTGATACCTGGATTCTAAGACGGCTGAAACCAGGGCCCTTCCCAGGCTGAAATGTTCTTTTTACCACTCTAAATATATGCACACCCAAGATTCACTGTGCCAAACATTTAATGCAATCAGTAAAGACTCCTTCTCTCTTGTAGAAACAGTAGATAATACAGAGTCTTTAGTCACCAAAAATATCTTTATCACATAAACAGTTATATTCTGGTTCATAAAGATAAAACAGCCATACCTTTAGGCAGAGAAATCCTAATACTGGTGAAGCCTTATCACAGCAAGAGGAGGTGTAAAATAAAACAAAAAACTAATGCATTTGAATTAAAGAAAATCTAATAGGTAATTAGATAAATGCGAATAATGTTATCTAAAGACTGCCATCTATTATCTACTTTGTTGGAATACTTAAATATCTATGTGCATGATTTAAGTGTGTGTTAGAGACAGGCATTTTTCTTCTAGACTCTGAACATCATTCAACACACAATTCAAAATGTTCTGATATATCTGACACATTCCCAATGATGTTATACCGAAATCTATAATATCAAACTCTCAGAGATTATCACTTTCAGTGCTAAGGAATAATTTTTCTTTTCTTTACAGGAACATTTAATGGTGTGACTTCTGGAGTATCTTTTTCAATATCTCAAAAATCAGACTAACAATTTATTTTAAAATTAGGGTTATGATTCAGAGGCAAAGGAGAAATTACTGCTCATTTAAATTATAAGAAAGAAATATATAAAATAATTTTAAGATAATGGTGAAAGAGTTCTTGCCTAAGAGTCTCCATCTTATTATTTGGCTTTGGTTGTTAATTCAAGTTGAAACAGCATCACTAGTATTGTTGTCTTCGAGCATTTTGCTTTTGGAAAAAAGCCTTCCCAAATTCATAGGTACTGATCATAATAGCACAAGCAGGAGCAATTTTAATTAAACGGGGAATGAGGCCTGAAAAGAGAATAGAAAAAAAATCAGAACAAATTTTACCTTATGTTTAAAAAATGTAATTTTTAAAAAAGATTTTATTAGACAGCGAGACAGCACGCGCACGCATCAGCAGAGGGAGAAGCAGAGGGAGAGGGAGAAGCAGACTCCTGGCTGAGCAGGGAGCCCGACGCCAGGCTCCATCCTGGAACTCCAGGATCATGACCTGAGCTGAAGGCTTAACTGACTGAGCCACCCAGGTGTCCCTAAGATGTTTGCTTTCATATCATAAATGTGGTATGTTTTCATAAATGGGGAATGTTTTCAATAATTTCCTGCTTAAAGTTAATTTAGGAAGATGACAGATGTAAAAGTAACCATTTTATTCAACAATTTGGTAAAGCATGTATTTTTACCTGTAAATAATCCTGCAAATCCATTCTTAGCAACAATGTTCTTCATGATAGTCCAGGTTGACATAGGTAAAGGCATAGAAACTAAATGTTAAAGAAATGATACATTATAAATTATCACTTAATAACTTCTAATACACATAAAAATGTTTATGACCTTTGGGCGTGTATAATCATTATAATAAGAACAGATCTATTCACCTAAAATTTACCCAAAATCTTATTTCTAACAATTGGATTCATTAAAAAGAAGAATTAGAAAAAGGTCTTAACTTTAAGGTGTATACAACTGGATATAATCAAGGACGAATATGCAGATGGATTCTCTGAATTAAGTTTCTTAAGCTTGGTGGTGGGCAGTATCCTTTATACGTATTTCCATGCCTTAAAATGAAAAATTTAAAAGATGTGTAGAAATTTTCATGGGGTTCTCAAAGCCAAACAGAAGCCCTGATAACCATTTTTCATTAAATTTTTATTGCACATCTTTAAAAAAATGTTTTTTTCCTAAGAAGTTCTGAAAAGAATAGCTCATTCTCCCTAGGGAGGTCTGTCTGCCTTTATTAAAACCTTTCTGAATAGATGTGCCAGTCTCTCTTTTCTAAAGATTATTTGACAGAGGAGAGACGCAGCGAGAGAGGGAACACAAGCAGGCGGAGTGGGAGAGGGAGAAGCAGGCTGCCCGCCGAGCAGGGAGCCCGACATGGGGCTCGATTCCAGGACCCTGGGATCATGACCTGAGCCGAAGGCAGACGCTTAACGACTGAGCCACTCAGGCGCCCCTAGATGTGCCAGTCTTGATATAAATTATATCAATCTTATCTCCTCCAAAGGGCAGACTTAGCCTTTTTTTAAAACAAAATTCTGCATTTTTATAAAATTTGGTAAAAAAATATTTCAAACTGTACAGTCACTAGAAGTACATTTGGCATCTCCAGCCTTTAATTAACAGTAACGTCTCTCTTATTTGCAGCCACTCAAATATCTGAAAGTAAAAAACTATTTTTTAAAAACAACAAAAATAGATGTCACTGATGTTCAAACATACAGCTATGCATGAGCTATTCACGCACAAAGTCTACTTACCTTCATTTTACACAGTGATTCTAAGCAGCTGCCTTAGGCCACAGATTACTAGATGCAGTAAGTAAAAAAGGAGTCTGCTAGGAAGCAGGCACACTACCACGTGAACACTGTGACAGCTGACACACTGAGGTTGTCAAAGTCTTGGTTTGAGATCAGCTGGATGAGAGGCAAACCCTGCTACAGTAGCCTCATTAGCTGCTCAGAGCTGCATTTATAAGACTATGATAGTCAGTGTGAACGTGGATGACAACTCTGAGTCCTTCAGAAAGATTAAGCTCTGTATTATTTGGCATGCCCAGGGAAAAAAAGAAAAGGGTGGAGAAAGAGAGCTTTCAAAAATAGCTTTTTAGAATTTTACCACTTAATGGCATGGGCTCATTATTTCAAATCTCATTTGTAGAAATACCAGATTCTCTGACCCATGAAGATAAATGAGGCTTTGTGATTTATTTAGGATGCTATATGATCAATATAAATCTGTAAGTATAAAGATAATAACTATACTATAGCAATCCAACAGGAAGGAGACATTTTTGAAACCAAGAACAAAGTATTTATGAATGAAATTTAACTTTCTAAAGAAAGTTAATGACAAAAATTTTATATTACAAGTCGGCAACTTCTTCATGTTTAAATTATTCCATTTACATTTTGGAAACAAAGAAAGAAAGGAAGCCAAGTAGCCAGGTATTTCTGATATTGTAGAATTCAAGACCCAAAGTGGTCCCTATTTAAATAGCAGGGTACAATCAGTGCAGAAGAGAATGGACAGAAAGCATTACCAACTGAAGGTAAGTCTGGGTCACACTCTAATCGAATCTCCAAAGTATCTCCTACCTAAAGTTCCAACACTCTAGAGCTATTCCTATAGGTAATAAGTAACTTCTTACATTGTAAGGAAACACTGTTTGGTTATTTCGTATTTCAAGCATAGACAACAATAAAAGAAACACTCATTTACTGACCATCCTCATTTATCAAATCCTAGCAATTATACAGCAAATATATTCCCTCTCAGTATTCTTCTTCCTATCTCCTGAGAGGTAACCACTCTCTTGTCTTTCTTTTTTCCTTTATCTTTCTCATGCTTCTGTTTAAACTTTATTACATCTGAACATATCCATAAATAATATATACTCTTGCTTTTCATGCTCTTAAACTTTGTATAAATGCTATCACACTGCACATTTATACGTTAGGATTATCTATATTGGCAAGTACAGCTATATTTGATTTATTTTTTATATGGATTATCACAGTTTGCCCATTTCCTTGCCAGGGACTATTCTGGTAATTTCTACCTTTTTGGGATTAAGAATCCCTGTACATGCGCAGACGTTTCTCTAGGGCACATATCAAAGGTGGAACTGCTTGTTCAAAGAGTCTTTCTTGAGACTGCCAGATTATTTTCCAAATTTAAGACTCTCACCTGCCCGGCATGAGCATTCCCACCAACAACCCAGTGCATATCAAATGTCCTCTCACTGCCCTTGTGGTTGGCATCGTCCTCATGACTACTAAGATGGAGCTTTTCTTCACAAATTTGTCACATATAACCATTTTTTAATGGTTTTAAAATTTCTGTTGAAGTATTTTAAAATACTGAATATGTTCATAGAAAAAAACTTGAACTGTTGAAAACAGGTGGATCTGAGCTAGGTTTAAAAAGCTGAAAGGTGACATTAAATTTTTTTAAATTATAAATGATGGACTCATAAGTGAGGAAATAGTTATCTCTATTATGAAATCTGGCACTCACTACATCCTAATATGTTTCTTTTCCATTACATTATGAGCTCTTTGAGGACTTAGAGATGGCCTCACTAGTCTGTATAGACCAGCATGGTGCACTCGAATCAGGAGTCGACTGATGGAGGGAAGACATGGTCAAAGTGCGCTGCTACAGAGATCATATTCTTACAAGGAACTCAGCATCATTCTCTATAGAACACTTCTTATTTTTCTTTTTGCTTAGAGATAATGGATTTGGTGTAGCTGAGCTACAGAGTGGAGAAAGCCTCCACTCTTTGGTGGGGTAAATAATATATGATAAAATGAGAAAAAATATGGGCTGTTTATCACTCAAATCAGAAGTGTAGTTTGCAGGAAAAGCGTATCTTGCTAAATATACCTGGTTCGTAGCTGAAGCAGAGTAACAGGTAAAAGTGACCAATGATAATCATACAAAATTAAGACCTAAGGCTTATTTAAGGTTTCTCCTTTGGGGTTTATTGGAGAAACACTAGAAGAAAACCAGTTGATAGGTAAGAGTTGAATCTAGTGAAAGAAGATGCCTCCTTGACGCCAGTCTCAAGGGGGATGTACAATCACTATCACCTAGGGAACATTTTCAGAATACACAAGTTAGAGCCCCAGATTAGGTCTATTAAATGACAGTCCATTGGTGGTGGTGCCCAACTTTAGATGTAATGAAAAAGCACCCCAGGTGCCTCCAGTTAAGTGGCTCTCAAACCTTAGTGAGCATCAGAACCTAACTGTGGAGATTCCCATCTTTTCCCTCACTATCGCCATGAGTCATGAATCACACCACAGAGCATATTCCTACTATATTAAACACTTCACATAATATTGAGGAAACAGGCATTCTGATGAGTTGGAAGGAGAATAAAACAAAATAATTTTGAACTATCAGGGGAGAATAGATAAGCTGAGGCAGCTAGAAGGGTCCCACCCAAAACGGAAGTGGTAAGAACCCTGATAATAAACTTTGTTACTTTCCAGGTTTTAGTTAGCTCCTATTACAAGAATGGACTAGGAGTCTGGAAAGTCAAGGACAAAGTAGTCACTAATATTCATCAGATTCAGTTGTTTGTAAACAGTGTTTCTTTCAACAATTATAATACCTATTTTACTTGTATGCAGAATATGCTGGTGGGTTTGAACACCAGAACAATTTATTAACATTATTCTAATAGATTTATCAATCACGAGGTTTACATGATACATTTTTGTAATAGATAATTTCCAAAGGATTTGCCACACTTTCTATAGATAATAAATAATGACAGAAGGAATCTAGCAGAAGCACCTTAGAGTGCACTTTTGTTCTAGAAGAAATTACAGGTTATAAAGAGGTAAACATAGGATAACAGGTAGGAAAAAAATGTATCAAAAGGAAGGGAAGCTAAAAAACGTTATGAATGAAATGTATACAACTAATGAAATGTATACAACTAATGAAACAAAACACACCAAGAGAAAAAGGGTTCCCACTGATTTCCTATCCTTCACCCTAATTTGTCTAGATTTATTTGAAAGAATAGTTATCTAATATAATACGTAGTTTTCTCTTTAGCAGGTACAAGACTTAACTGATGGCAGGCAAAATATATAGATTTTTAAATTTCTTAAGTTTTGAAGGGGGTTGAGAGTATTTTTTTCTCTGGGCATTCCATTCTAACAGTATATTAGTTTCAGTTAAAGCAGCAGAGGAAAAAAAATCTTATTTTTCTTATTTAGATAGTCCCATCTGGAAAGAAAAACAAAAACAATCATGGCATCTTGAAAATGTTTTAAATTACTTAAACTTACTTTTATGACTTTCATATGTCCAAAGTTGAGTCTGCTTTTGTGTTTTTACCACATCAAATGGCAAAGTTGCAACAGCTGCAAACTATCAAAAAGTACAATTAATTTAAATCTACCTTTCAATTTTTTCTTAATATTTTTATATCTTCTAAGTAGCACATTATTGAAGGATAAAGAATGGAATCATAACTAAACTGAAACTTAAGATGAAACCAGACATATTCAAAGAGAAGTTTTCATTTGGTTCCAGTAGGTCAGTACCTCACTCTAGGTCATCACAAATTCATTTTGTAAGTATGTGGAAATAAGAAAACTCTGTGGCCAAGATCATGATGATATGAACCTGCATAAAAGACCACTACACAGCTTTACATTATGTGGAGGAGTGGAAACAGTGAACTCTCTACTACCTAAAAATGGTCATTTGAGATTCCTCCCTTCTGACTAATTTCTGTTAAAATTCTTCTAAGAAATACTTAGCCAAAATGTTCCCAAAGAAACAGGAATTAGCAGCAGAGGATGAAATGACTTCTACTCAATCTGATTATATATATGAAATAACAAACACTCCATGAAATATTACCTAACCAGATCTACTGGCATTAATTTAATGAACAAATTGACAAATATTTGGTAAATGATAAAGCACTAATTAAAATATTATCATAGCTGTAATGATCTAACAAATCAAAAAATTTTCAGAAAAACATAATAATGTATTTGTAATATAATAAAAACATAGACACAAAGTACATTTAAAAATATTTAGTGGCTAGGGGTGCCTGGGTGGCTTAGTCTGTTAAGTGTCTGCCTTCGGCTCAGGTCATGATCCCGGAGTCCTGGGATCGAGCCCCGCATCGGGCTCCCTGCTCAGCGGGGAGTCTGCTTCTCCCTTTCCCCCTCCTCCCACTCATGCTTGCTCTCTCTCTCTTTCCCTCTCTAAAATAAATAAATAAATAAAATCTTCAAAAAATAAAATATTTAGTGGCTAAATAATTTCCTCAAAATAGGATAGTCAATACTTAGAAAATTTTTAAAGCAGTGCAGCCCAAAAGTGATACCTCAATAGATATGAAATGCTATATAATCTTTCATTCTATTTTAATAAGACAATTACCATTATTCTGGAATATTAACAAGAAAAGAATATCAACTTACAGAACCAGACAATGCCCCTGAAGTAAAGTTGATCATAAATGTTGGTTCATATAAACCAGATTTCGCACACAACCACTTCTTTAAAACTTCATAGTTATACCAGTACATTGCTATAAAAACAGAAAATGAAATGAACACATAATTTAGAAGTGAAATGGGGACTTTAAATATATAAGGTTATATATTAAAGGAAAAGGGAAAGTCTAACCCTGATACATCCTACTTTCTGCTTGGACACACATACTAGGTGAGACTGAAAAATTCAAAGAAAAAAAATGGAACCAAGTCCTCAGAAATATTCTAGCAGCCTTATAAACAAATATACCACAGTAAAATAGGACTTTAATTATAAAACCTGACAAGGACAATAGAAGAAAGGACAACTATAATTCAATCTCATTAACACAGGTATAAAAATTCTTAAAAAAAAAAAAGGTAACCAAACCCAGAAGTATTTCATAAAACATCATATACTATGACTAAATTGGGTTATCATAAGAGGAATGCATAGGTAGTAAATGTTAACAAACCCTTTAAATGCGAAACACCACATTAAAAGAATCATGGGATCATCTAAAATTGATGGAAAAGCATTTCATAAAATTCAACCCATTTTCATTTTTAAAGCAAAGCAATTTCTTCGAAACCTTGAGATAAAAGGAAATTTCCTTAACTAGAAAAAGGATATACATCAAGAACCCTTAGCAAAAGTAATTAATGGTGAAACAATTATTTCCTTAAGAATGAGAAAAATGATAGGGACGCAACATCATTGCTATTATTCAAAACTGTCCTAGGAAGCATAGTAAGATACGAAAAATATAAAAGCTCTGTTAATTAAAAATGGAGAAACAAAATAGTTACAATTTACATATTTATGTCTATATAGGACATCCAAAAGATAGGCAAAGTAAAATTAATAATAGTTTTAAAAGTAGCTGAATATTAAATATAATCTAACACAGGAAAATTAATTTTAACACTGCACTGGCCTGAGATTTGGAATTTTTATTTTAATAGAGCTTTTAAAATAGCTACCAAAATTGGAGGTGGGTGTAACTATAAATAAATCTTAAAAAAAAAAGGTTGTATATAATATTTATGAAGAAAAATTTAAAACTCTACTAACACACTTTAAAGAAAAATTATATAATAGAGATGTGATGACATGCTTGGGGAAAAAAATAAGGTAACATCAAGATTTTTAATAATGCACCAGTAGTTTAGACAACACCAGTATCAGCACAGGCTCAGACAAACTGGCCAGCAGAACAGGTGTATGCATGCGTGAGGCTCTGATGGGTAACCCTGCAAATCCCTGGAGCAAGTGTGGTGATTCATAAATGATGCTGGGACAACCATCCATCCATATGGGGGGGGGATAAAGTTGATCATTTATCTCAGTTCTTAACTGCAAATCAATGATGGATAAATGGCCAATGAAATGGTGCGCAACCTCATCAATAGGCAGGCAAATATATAAGTTAAAGCGAGATACCACTTTAAATTACTAGAGAAACAAAACTTAAGAGCTTTGACAGTAAAATTACTGGTGAGGGTATGAAATGAACAGGAAGCTGCTAGGTGTACTGATCTATATAGTCACTTTAGAAAAGAATCTGACATTATGTAATAATTAAAATGTATATATCTATGTGAACTAGCAAATTGAATACTGGAGAAGTCCTTGTATGTGCACACCAAGAGTCTACTAAAAATATTCACAATAGCACTTTGTTTACTCATAAATGAGTAAAAATGAAAAAGTTTCACATAAAAACAAAAATGAAACTTAAGATTTTTGAGTAAAATAAGCATTTTTTAAAGCTCAAAAATAGGGGCGCCTGGGTGGCTCAGTGGGTTGGGCGTCTGCCTTTGGCTCAGGTCATGATCTCCAGATCCTGGGATTGAGCCCTGCATTGTGCTCCCTGCTCAGTGGGGAGCCTGCTTCTCCCTCTCCCTCTGCTCCTCCCCCCGCCTGTGCTCTTTCTCTCTCGCTCTGTGTCAAATAAATAAAATCTTAAAAAAGTAAAGCTCAGAAATAGTGCAATACTAAGTAACATACTGTTTGGCAATAATACACATGTAAAACTATTTTTTAAAAATCAAATGAATGATGAAGTTCAGTACAGTGGTTACCACTGGAGATGTTGACAGCGGAGGTGAATGAATATATGTGGTTTCATGATTTAAAAAATTGCAGTGTTCTCGTTCAGAGATTGAATGGTGACCTCACAAGTGTTCGTTTTATTAATATACTTCATAATTTATACTACGTTACTTCTTATGTGTCAAATATCATATAAAAAAATGAAGAAAAATAATTGGCCTAGGAATCTGTATTTTTAAATCACATAACTAAACACAAAAGGCTGAAGAGGAATACTAATGGAAAGGGCAAGATGCAGAGAGATGTGAAGAGAGCACAAGAAAAGGATTAATTCGAAGGGGAAAAAAAAGGAATTTTGAAGCATGCACATTTTATAAGTTGTTAGTTTTGCACTTTTTCATGATTTTCTCCCTCCTTCACAATTCAATAATTAGCACAATCTCCTCTCTGATTTATAATAGTATTTTACAGGATACTTATTTAAAGGGGAAGATTTTTATCTCTAATAACTGAAAAAGTAGAAATCAATATAATTCACAGGAGCTCTTAAACATTTTATATTTTGATTTGTAGTTCACTTACCTTAGTAATTATCGCATTTAGGGTAATGTTAAAGGTAGTCTGTTTTATCTAAATGTGAATATATACCGATTAATAGCTTTAAAAAAATGAAACAGAAGGAAAACAGAAAGTCAGGCTTGAATTAGAAACTACTCGTCCAATAAAGACTCCTAAAGACATGAGGGCCCAACACTGAACTAGGAATTTGTGGTCACCAAAGAAGATAACTTACCTTTAGCCTTAAAGGGCTTCAAATTTACTTAATTTAAAAGTGATATATATAATGAATCATTGAACACTACATCAAAAACTAATGATGTAATATAAAAATAAATAAATAAAATAAAAGTGATATATACATAAGACAACACTACCTAAAATTTAGCAGATACTAAGATAAATCCTACCTGAGAATGGTACATCTCTAAGAACAGTAGGAATCCAGCCCCTCCAAAGGGAAATCCAACCATCTTCAGATACTTTCTTGCTGACAAATCGATGCAATTCTTTGTAAGAAAACTTCTTAGATTGCATCTTGGTTCTAATCAATTCTAATGGACTTATCACAGTTACTGCACCAACTAATATAAACAAGCAAATATAACAAAACAAAAACAAAGCCATGTACTATGCAAACACACATGCAAAAATATTTCATGCATTTTATATATATATCTTTCATTCTGAAATGTCTGCAAACCTTAAAATCAAATATCTAATGATGCCAACATATTGATGCACATTTTTTTTTCCTTGATAAAGGTATTTCTTAAAAACCTGCTTTCATATAACTTATTCTTTCTGGTTTCAACTCTTTGTTTTTAAGATTTTATTTTTTTTTAAGTAATCTCTACACCCAGCATGGGGCTCGAACTCACAACCCCAAGGTCAAGAGTTGCGTGCTCCACCAACTGAGCCAGCCAGGCACTCCTGGTTTCACCTCTTTCACGAGCAGTTCCAGAAATATTACACATCAATTAAAGTACTATAAAACCTCACTCCCACAGCACAGAGAAAAATATCTTTCTGTACAGATGCAAATTTCCTTCTCATTAAACTCTGAATCCCAGAGTTATCTATAAGGAAAAGGATTCAGGACTTGGGCATCAATTTGACATCAACTTGACATCTGATATCTGACATCTGATGTCATTCTAAAATCTAGAATCTAAAGTCTAAACTCTCTGTCCAAGATTCAGTAGGGATGGCTTGATTCCATCTTATTCTGATGGCAATCACTACATACTATATGACTAGAATTCTAGAGTATAGGTATTAACAAATTAGTACAAGCTACAATGCAAAATGTACCAACACTCTGCATTTTCTACAAAATTATCTGTGACTGTCAAAATTGTAAAAGAAGTTTTAAACAGAAATCAAGATGAAAATACAGTAAGTTTATTACTTACATCTGGCAACAATTCCGGCAATAATTGGTATATGACTTTCATTTTCTCCTAATTTTGATCTCAGGAGAGCAGATAATTGATCATAGCAGGTAAAATAAATAACTGTGGCAGGAACTGCCATCACTCTGTTTGAAAAACACCAACAAAAAGACGTATACAAAACTGTCAAAAGGCTTAAATGTATTATTATTAAATATAAGCTAAAATCCTTATATTGTATATAAGCTGAAAACCGTAACAAATCAGCCAATGAGATCGATTTTTCTTTTAAAATTATTAGTGTTTAATTTAGGCAACAAAAAGGTGTACAATAGTATCTGCCCTATAGTTTAGAGTCTAGTTGTAAAGATAAGTTACAGAGCACTTGCTCAGGTCATAAATAGGAAAAGACTAAAGACTACCTCCTTGATTTGTTCTATTGTTACTGGTCTCCCAAAAATCTTCCTTCCTAATTACATTCACTGTAATATGAAAATCCCTGAAGTAAAAAATACAAGAGCATTTGTAAAATATTTTTGAACTTTGGACAGAGCATCATACCTGCCTGTATCTAGAAATAAATTACAATTAATGTTGCCAGAATATATTTAGTTTTGAGGAAATTCCAGTGACATATTCTTTCAAATGAAATCATCAAAAGGGAATTATTAATAAAATTAAACACAAAGTTGCAGGCACTGTCATGTTATACATATTAATACAACAAGAAACCAGTTTATGTTTATGGTCTGACTAAGGGACATTCACAGACCATACTTTGAAATGCCTAATGTTCCATAGTGAAGTCTGATGATGAGAATTTAGAAATAGAATTGACTGCCGGTCTTGGATCAGCCACTAACTTGATAACCTTAGGCACTGTTTAAAATGTATGCCTCAGGGGCGCCTGGGTGGCTCAGTCGTTAAGCATCTGCCTTCGGCTCAGGTCATGATCCCGGGGTCCTGGGATCGAGCCCTGCATCGGGCTCCCTGCTCTGCGGGAAGCCGGCTTCTCCCTCTCCCACTCCCCCTGCTTGTGTTCCTTCTCTCGCTGTCTCTCTCTGTCAAATAAATAAAATCTTAAAAAAAAAAAAAAAAAAAAAGTATGCCTCAAAGTGACTAATTGCTCCACAAAAAAGATACATTAAAAAGAAATGAAGCAAAAAAAGGTATTACTTGGGATTTTTACATTCAGCCTTACTAGTTTATCATATTAACTCATATAATAGCTAGTTAGTAGAGACCTTAAATTATCCAAAAAAGGGAAAGTATATATGTCACAGTATCTCTTATTATTTTTGTAAAACAAACAAGTAACACAAGTTCTTAATTTCTGAAAATGAAAAAAAAATTATGCTTGTGCACCAAAGACTTACCACAGCAGGCCTGGTTGCTCAAGTCTTCTTTATCTTCAGGGGGACCTTTTGCATGATTGACCTTTGGCCAATTCCAAGGAATGTAGCCCTTGGAATATTCCATATAGTAAGGTTTTTTTTTGGTATGTCTGGAGCACAAAATCAACTTGTCTGGGTTGTTTTGTGCAAATGATGTGACTTTGGTAAACAGTTGCTTTTTTTTTTTTTTTAAAGATTTTATTTATTTGACAGAGAGAGAGAGAGCACACGTAGGCAGAGTGGCAGGCAGAGGGAGAAGGAGAAGCAGGCTCTCTGCTGGTGGGGCTCGATCCCAGGACCCCAGGATCATGATCTGAGCCGAAGGCAGCCGCTTAACCAACTGAGCCACCCAGGCGCCTCTAAACATTTGCTTTCTTTTGGGGGGTCTGGGTCTTGGTAATCACAGGTGGTCACAAAGAAAGAATTTGCCTATGTCATCAATCCCCAATATAAGCACCAGACTCTGCCATCAAACACTTCGCACATGCCACTGCAGTTCAATGCTGGAAGAATAAGCCTGTCCTATGGGATGTCGCCAGAGGGCTCTGGAAGCCTTATGCCTGCCTGGTCAGCTACTGTTGTGCCTTTTCCTTTCCTGATTCTGCTTTGTAGCCTTTTGTTGTAGTAAGTCACAGACATGAGTATAACCTTCTTTAGGTCCTGTGAGTCCTTCTAACAAATCATCAAATGTGTGGGTGGTTGTGGGACTCACAAAACAATGCTTCAGAAAATGAAAAAGTCCCAATATTATAAACAATTTTATCCAACCATGCCACTTATAAGGCAAAACAAAACAGCAACCATCATTTAGTGAGAAAATATTAAATTGCAACTTACAAGGTTGGGGGAAGGCCACTCCACAGGGATTTAATGCCCTCATTTCGAACAATTTTCAAAAAGGCATCCTAAAATTGTAATAGAAAATAGTAGTCAAAATATATCCTTGAACCAGATACATAAACTTTTTGATAAATGATTGGTACGTTTATTCTTTCAAGCATTTATTTCCAAAATGTGAGCTTCTCAGATTTATGTTATATCCATTCTAAAAAAAAAAATTTTTCCTCAACTTTCAAATACAAGTAAAACATTTCTGAATGATACTTGCTGTTCACAGGATAAAATTTATGTTACTCAGCTATAGAGTGTTCTACTTAGGGCTTAGATGCCTAGTTTTTAAAGGATTATTATAAAAAGGAAATTGAGTAATGGCAGAGAATAGGTCAGATTAACTCTCTTGACCAACTACAGAATCTGAGAAAAAATTATTTAAACCCAATATTTATATATTAACGTGAGGATCAAAAACTGAGGGGGGCCTCTCCACTTTCATGAATTTTAGCTCTATGAGTCCTACCAGATTCTCACTGTGATGATCAGAGAAAAATCTCCTCCTGCTTCCACCAGGGGAAGGGGAAATGTAACCAGTTTTGAAATATACCCCAAACCTGTATTCTCCTTAATAAAGCCTATACTCAAGGGAAAATATTTTACCAGAGCCTAAACCACTGCAGTTTTACCAAAATCTAACCAACCTGGGGCAAGGGAAACACCCAACTCATGTTCCTAAAGAATAAGACCTAATCACAGAACTATAGAATATTTCTCTTCCTCCTTACCTAACACCACATCTCTAGGGCTTTTGTAAAACAACAGAGGATCATAGATTTGACGAACCATAAGCCTCAGATTCTGTGTGAGCAGTCTCTAGGGAAACTCAAAGATAACAGGCAAGACAAAAAAGAGGACAACAGAGGGAATTTTATTCTCTGACAACAAAGCTACGACAAGCAGTTCACACAGCCTTACCTGTAATCAGATAAACATTATCACCTGACAAGAAAGCTGCATTGACCTCCGTTTTTTTTAACCCAATACAACATGTGTGGCTTTCAACAAAAGAAATTACAAGTATGCTGAAAGGCAAAAAAACACAGTCTGAAGAGACAGAGCAAGTGTCAGAACCAGATTCATATATGGCAGAGATTTTAGAAGTATCAGACTGGGAATCTAAATAACTAAGATGAATACGGTAAGCATTCTACTGGTAGTGTCAGAGGGGCGGGGGAAGAACAGGGAGGAGTGGGATCACCCCACCAGTGTCGGTGCAAACGATAAGGTAAGCCAGAACTCCCTCTCTGCTCTCAGTCTGTTTGGGCTGCTATAACCAAGTACCTTATAGACAACAGAAATTTATATCCCACATTTCTGGAGGCTGGAAGTCCCAGATCAGGGTCTCTGATTTCTTACTGTATCAGAACATGGTCGAAGGGCAAGGACGCTCTGGGCCTCTTCTACAAGGTCATTAATTCCTTAGGTCTCTGCCCTCATGACCTAATCACCTTCAGCTCCACCTCCTAATACTATCACTTCAGGCTGTAGGATTTCAACATACGAATTTTGGGTAGACAAGACACAAACATTCAGATCATAGCACCTGTCTAACAGTAAAGAGGTTCTCCACAACACACTGTGTCTGTGGATGCTAAGTGAGAAACCTGAACTTCCAGCTATACCCAGCACTAACAAGGTGGCACCCCTCTTCCTCTGAGGTAAGTGTCAAAAAAGCCAGTTAAAATAGAATGTTTAAATGAGATTCACAATGTAATACGCAAAATTTCCTGGTTTCAATAAAAAAATCAATTGTCATTCAAAGAACCAAGATGATGTCTAACTAAATGAAAAAAGACAACAGACGCCAACGAGATAGAGTATTAAAATTATCTGACGTAGATTTTAAAGGGGTCAACATAAAAATCACTGAATGATCATTTATGAACGCATCCAAAACAAATGAAAAATTAGGAAGCCTCAGCAAAGAAATATACACACAAAAACTCTATAAAGATGAAATTCTAAAGTAACGCATAGAAGGGAGGAAAAATAAAACAGCAAAAGAAAACAAAGAGAAGGGGTGCCTGGGTGGCTCAGTCGTTAAGCGTCTGCCTTTGGCTCAGGTCATGATCCCAGGGTCCTGGGATTGAGCCCCACATTGGGCTCCCTGCTCAGCGTGGAGCCTGCTTATCCCTCTTCCTCTGACCCTCCTTCCACTCATACTCTCTCACTCCCTCCCTCCCTCTCTCTTTCTCAAATAAAATCTTAAACAAAACCAAAAAAGGAAATGGCAGGCTGTTAACAATGAGACAACAGGCCCAAAATGGAGTCACTTATGCTAACCCCCACGTCAGCAAACTGACGTAGTACGTAACCTAACTGCAGTTTCAGCCTCTCCCAAGAACATGACCTTAACCAATGTATAATTACCAAGTTAGTAATCTGCCTGAGAGACCCCCAAATTCCCTCAAAAGATTGTTACATTGCCTGTAACAATCCACTCTTTGCTAGAATAATAACTTTTTTGCCCCATCTTCTTCTGCCTATAAAAGTCCTCTGCCTATAAATCTCGTCAGAGCTCCCTTCTACTTGCTAGATGCAATGCCGCCCAAATCATGAATTGTTGAATAAAGCCAATTAGATCTTCAAATTTACTCAGCTGAATTTTGTTTTTTAACGAGGGTTAAGTTCTACAGTACCTGTAACTCTATTAAATATCGTCTAAATACATCAACTAAAGATAAAAACTGACAGAGTAGTTAAAAAAAATGACTCAATTTTACACTTTCATAGGGGAGCAAAATTTGGCACCACAAAATGCAACTCTTTGGCATGTAGATTATTTTAGGCTGAATATTTTCAAGAAACAGAAGCTTCAGGAAGAACCTTTGACCTTCCCTCTGTCTAAAAGACTTTACAAAGAGGAACTGCTCTAGGAAGGGAGCTATCCCCATAGATAACTATAGGTAATATAACCTAGGTGTGGTAGGGAGGAACCTGTCTGTTAAAATTCCTCTCTGTGTCCCACTGTTTCTGTGTGGCCCAGCACACATCTGTTTGCCAAACATTTACTTTTTCATCTTGCAGTGAATTGTCTTCCTTCCTTGAAACCCCAGACCCTTTCCCCTTTTTAACTGTGGATGACAAATAAACCTTAACTGCCTGCCTATGGGCTACATTTTCTTATAGAGAAATACATACATAGTTAACTTTGATTTTCTCCTGTTAACCCAGTTCATTGTCAACACAGTAAAGATGTTATTTAGGTTTAACACAGTTTCTATAAAAATCTTAGCGAGACTTTTTTATAGATATAAAAACATTATTCTAAAATTTATATGAAGAGACAAAGGAATTTTAGGAATGGTTAAAATAACTTTGAACAAGAAAAATAAGAATAAAGTGGGAGAAATCAGTCTACCTGATTTCAGGACTTATTATGTTTCTACCGTAATTAAGACTGTGCTACTGATGCAGGTAATAGACAAATAAATGAGAAAGAATAAAGAACCCAAAAACAGATCCTCCCAGTATGCCCAACGGATTGTGGACAAATGTGCAGAAGCACCTTACTGGAGGAAAGACAGCTTTCAACAAATGCAACTGGACACTCACAGGCAAAATGAACAAAAACAATGAAAAGGTCAACCTCAGATTCATACCTCCTATAACAATAACTCAAAATGGATCAAGGACTTAAATATAAAACATAAAGCTATAAAACTTATAGGAAAAAAACCAGGAGAAAATCTTCCAGTCTAAACATAAATAAAGCATTCTTAGCTTTGACACCTAAAGCAAGAAGAAAAATAATAAATTGAACATCAAAATTAAACTTCAACTCCATGGAAGACCCTGTTTAAGAGGATGAAAAAAAAAGAGAGTAGAAAAAATATTTGCAAATCCACTCTCGAGGATTATTATCTAGATTTTATAAAGAGTTCTCAAAACTTAATAGTAAAAATACAAACAGTTCAATTGGAAAATGGACAAAAGACGAGAAGAGCCATTTCACTGAAGAGGATATACTAATAAATAAGCATATGTAAAGATGTTCGATATCAGTAGCCACTAAGGAAATGCATATTAAAACCACAGTGAGTTATCATTACACATCTCTCAAAACCGCTAAATAAAAATAGTGACAACATCAAAGGCTAGTGAGGATGTGGAGAAATTAGAATAGTGACACACTGCTGCTGGGAATGTAAAATGGTACCACCAGTCTAGAAAACAGTTTCTTAAACTCTAAACATACAACTACCATATGACCTAGCAACTGCACTCCTGGGTATTTATCCCAGAGAAATGAAGACTTATGCTGATAGTATGATTTATAATTAGAAATAATACATTTTGGTCTTTGTCCATGGTTCCTGGCAAACAGTTCCTAAAATCACTGTAATTTCCTAATTAATAAAGAGCAACGGAAGCATCTTTTGTTATAATATTCAGCCTTTTGTTCTCAGTCCTAAAATAGCTCCAGAGAATACAGGTGAAAAGAGTACCTTTTGTTATTCATAATAAATTTGATCAATCATGTCTATATAAGAAAGCCTCCATAAAAATCCCTCAACTACAGGGTCTGGAAGCTTCCAGGTTGGTGAACACATGGAGGTACAAGGAGGGTGACACACCAAGAGAGGGAAGCTCCACACCCACCCCCCAAGCCTTGCCCTATGCATCTCTAACTGGTTACTCTTGAGTTGTATCCTTTCATAAAAAACTGGTCATCTAGTTAGTAAACTTTTCTGGAGTTCTGTGAGCTATTCTAGCAACCCACTGAATCCAGGAAGGGGGTTGTGGGAACCTCTGATTTATAACCAGGTATCAGAAACACGGGTGACAACCTGGCTTGTGAATGGCATCTGAAATGGGAGCAGTCTTAAATCTTTTTTTTTTTTTTTAAAGATTTTATTTATTTATTTGAGAGAGAGAGAATGAGAGACAGAGAGCATGAGAAGGAGGAAGGTCAGAGGGAGAAGCAGACTCCCTGCCGAGCAGGGAGCCCGATGCGGGACTCGATCCCGGGACTCCAGGATCATGACCTGAGCCGAAGGCAGTCGCCTAACCAACTGAGCCACCCAGGCGCCCTGAAATGGGAGCAGTCTTAATGGCGTCAGTATTGACTTAAACTCCAGGATACCTGGTTGGTGTTCACTGATAACTGAGGAATTGCTTGGCACGGAGGAAAAAACCCATATATCTGGTCTAGAAGTGTTGTAAATAGAGTGTTCCCAGAGAAAAACAGTGAGTAGTTTGTTGTTGTTTTAATATTTACTTTCACACAAAAACCCGAGAATGAATCTATGTAGCAGCTTTATTTGTCTTTTTCAAGGTTTTATTTATTTATTTATTTGACACAGAGAGAGGGAGGGAACACAAGCAGGGGGAGTGGGAGAGGGAGAAGCAGTCTCCCCGCGGAGCAGGGAGCCCGATGCGGGGCTCGATCCCAGGACCCCAGGACCATGACCTGAGCTGAAGGCAGACGCTTAAGGACTGAGCCACCCAGGTGCCCCTGTAGCAGCTTTACTTGAAACAGCTCAAAACTGGCCACAACCCAGAAAACAAACCGGTACATCAATACCATGGAACTAGTGAGCAATAAAAGGAACAAACTATTGATAAATGCAACAACTTGGATGAATCTCCAGATAATTATGCTAAGTGAAAAGTACTAATTCAAAAATGTTATATATTTTGATTCCATTCTTGAACTGAGAAAATGATATAAATGAAGCACACATTAGTGGCTGCCAGGAGTCGAGGAGCAGCTGAGAGCACAAAGGAAATGGTGGTAGCTGTAACAGGGAAGCAGGACGGATGCTTGTGGTGATGGAACTGTTCTATACCTTTAATGTATCAAAGTCAATATCTGGTTATGATATTGTACTACTTTCTTATGATGTTACCTCTGGGGGGAAGGAGGAAAAAGGTACATGGGATCTGTCTGTATATTTTTCTTAAAATTGCATATTATCTACAATTATGTCAAAATAAAATAGTTTAGGGGCACCTGAGTGGCTCAGTTGGTTAAACAGCCAACTCTTGATTTTGGCTCAGGTCATGATCTCAGGGTTGTGGGAGTAAGCCCGGCGTCAGGCCCCGCACTCAGCAGGGAGTCTGCTTGTGGATTTTTTTTCTCTCTCTCCCTCTGCCCCTCCAACCCCCTTGCATCCGTGTAATCTCTCTCTAATAAATAAATAAATATTTTTTAAAAAATAAAAATGTTTAAAAAAATTGACTGTTTTTTCTTTCCACATAAAAAAACATGAGAAGGGCGCCTGGGTGGCTCAGTTGGTTAAGCGACTGCCTTCGGCTTGGGTCATGATCCTGGAGTCCCGGGATCGAGTCCCGCATCGGGCTCCCTGCTCGGCAGGGAGTCTGCTTCTCCCTCTGACCCTCCTCCCTCTCATGCTCTCTGTCTCTCATTCTCTCTCTCTCAAATAAATAAATAAAATCTTAAAAAAAAAAACAAAAAAAACAAAAAACATGAGAAGATGAAAGTTAATAACAAGTTAATTAAAAGCAAAGAAGTACCTCCCTTTTCCTGCCTCAACATCTACGTTCTAACTGTGAATAAGTGTGCTAACTATATCACGGATTTAATACTCTCCTGCAATTGGAAAATCTTTCATACATAGATTAAATATAAAAACAGAAAACATAATGTGATTATAAATAACATAATCTTACCAATGTACCCTGGAAACGTCCTGGTTTCTTATACCATGCTTTGTTGCCTTCCTCTTCACAGACACATAGATGATCCATAAGTCCATTACTATACACAAAATATTTTCCTAACAAAGAAGGTCCCAACAGTCAAAAATTATTTCACATAACTGTACTATTTTTACAGAGGAACAAGTTCAAAGTACAATGAGTGGACTAGAAGATTATGGAAAGAGATAACAACTTTGTTTTCATCTTTTAGGATTAAAAAAACATAAATTGATTTACTTAATGACAAAGCACTGGCCTCTAAACTCAAAGTGGTGAAAGTGAGTAAATTGATGAATTTTATGTTTTCAGAAATATAGTAAGCAAATGCGCACAGAAATAAATTCTTTTAGGGTATTTGAGGGAATGCACAAGGAATATAAAGGAGGAAAACCTGTTTTAAAAAGAGAACATGGGTGTACAGCTTCTCCATTTGACAAGAAGAAAACTCTGGTACCCAAGGGAAATTCAGACAAAATTTTTTTTGAACTATACATACATGAAACATACATATACATATATACACACATATGTAAACATATATGCAGAAATCTAATGGATATCTGAAACTTGAGAGTAGATCTTAAAAATTCTCTTCACAAGAAAAAAAATAATCGTGTGATGTGATTGATATCGACTAAACTTACTGTGGTGATCTTTTTGCAATATATACACATACATCAAATCATCATATGGCACACCTCAAACTATTACAATGTTACATGTAGATTATAACTCAATTAGAAAAATAGATGATTAAAAAAAGTACTTCTCTATCAATGTAAACAGTGCTATGCTGTCTCTTTCTCTGTATTTATACTGCTCATTCTAGACATTCGTCAGCTCCCAGCTAATTTACTTCAACTTTCCCTAATAGCAACTCTTTCCCATTATTGGACTCACCCTGGCTGCCAAAATTATCTTTTCTGGTCAACCATATTTGTGAGTCTCGTAATACGTAAGTCCAGTGTCTCCTTCTGCTTTTAAGGATTTCTTAAATGTGTAGGAAACTGCTTTCCTTTTAGTCTTCTCTTACAATCCATCTATCCCGTCCTCCATCTGAATTATGACTGTTGTTCATTCCATCTCAGTACTGTGTTCATCAGAGTGGCTTCTATGTCTGAGCCAACATTCTCACAGTCCAAGCAGTCTGTTTTCTGCTTTTTAAACATGTTTGTAATGTCATTATCTTTATAACACTGTAAAAGATTTATCGAGGAATTGCTATTTTTGCCCATCTAATAAAGATGTATAACTACTGTTTTCAAATTCATATAAACTATACTGTCCAACAATTAACGAAGTTGCCTGATAATCATTTCCTACCACTATATTCAAGCAACAGTTAGATGACTGTTGGATGAATGTTTTAGAATGGGCACAGCTCTTGGACTATGGAGGAAGCTAGATTCTAAGACCCCTATGCTTAGAATTCTGTTCTTACTTGTGAGGCACATACTCAAATATTAAATCATCCTATGCTTTAATTAGGTACATAAAAGTGTTATAACTGTTTTGGGGCACCTGGGTGGCTCAGTCGTTAAGCATCTGCCTTCGGCTCAGGTCATGATCCCAGGGTCCTGGTGTCGAGCCCCACATTGGGCTCCCCGCTCAGGGGGAAGCCTGCTTCTCCCTCTCCCACCCCCCCTGCTTGTGTTCCCTCTCTCGCTGTGTCTCTCTCTGTCAAATAAATAAATAAAATCTTAAAAAAAAAAAAAAGTGTTATAACTGTTTTATATATATTTGTTTTCTGGCTAGAACCCATCATGTACAACTAAGTACTGAAAAAACATTTCTGCATGAGTATAAGGAGGTATGAACTTTTAAAAATTAACCAAAAAAAATTATTCAAATAAAAATGAATAAAGTAAAATTTAAAAGCCTATTATAACATTTCCAGGATAACTAGTACACATACCTTTGGAGAATGGGTTGTTTTGGGCTTGGAGTCGAATTTTAACAACATCGAGGGGTGTCACTATGAAGAAACATAAATTTCAATTAGGAAGTGATACCTGTAAATTGTACAGACATTTGTCCAAAAATCACAAAATATGTCAAATCAATCCCTCTTCATGACTATATAATAAGTAAGGTTATTTATCTTAAAATGGTTTTAAATGTAACATTCTCATTTTTTGCCCTTGAATTCTGTTTAGAGGATCAATGAGAAGACATTGTAATTACTTCTCTCATGACTACTAAACTGTCATTTATTATATTTCTATAATAATTCCATTAGCATTAAAACTAAAATACTAGTATTTTAAAGAAAATACATCATCTAAGGTAAAGAATAAATGTTTTGGAAGTCTATTTAAAAATTTGAGAATAACTGCATTACAAGTAATCAGTAATCAAACAATATTAGTCTTCCTCATCTGTTAAATTCAGCTGTATCAAATAAAAACTATACATAATGAAGATTTGAGTAAGCTAGCCATAAATCATCTTTACTACCACACAGTGTTACTCCATTCAGGAATAGCACAGTAAAGGAGAATGGTTTTAATTTGTATGCTATTTTATCCAAGTAGGAAAAAAGTGCCAAAAGGTAGTTCTAAGAAAACTTTTCCTCATCTGAGAATGAGGAGGTCATATTAGATGATCTCTAAAATCTTTACAACACTAACATTCTGACCTGAAGTAAGATACTACACTTGAAAGCAATACGTTTGTTTGTTCTAATCATCTATCTTATTTAAATAAACTAGCCAACTTAAAAACTATCACCTAGGGTGCCTGGGTGGCTCAGTTGGTTAAGTGACTGCCTTCAGCTCAGGTCATGATCCCAGGGTCCTGGGATCGAGTCCTGCATCGGGCTCCCTGCTCTGCGGGGAGCCTGCTTCTCCCTCTCCCACTCCCCCTGCTTGTGTTCCCTCTCTCGCTGTGTCTCTCTCTGTCAAATAAATAAATAAAATCTTTAAAAAAAAAAAAAACAACTATCACCTAAGTCATTTGTCTTTCTCTAAAAGAAATGGGCTATAAAAAACAAAAATGCGGCCCAGAGGAATTTAAGAAATTCACTGTTAATGCAAGCAAAAGAAAACATAATTTGTATTTGTTTCTATTATAAGCTGCCCAAATTCTGTATTATTCATTATACTAATATTTTATTCTATCTTCTTGTTTTCTATTTTTAAAAAGGCTAATAGAGTCATAAAAGGTCAATATTGATAGGAACCTCAAAGAACTCCTGGTATCAGTCCCTACTTCTATAGATGAAAAATGAAATTCAGAGAGAAGTAGGGACTATCCCAAAGTGCACTCAGCCTGAGAATGGCAAAGCAAGGGATAAAATTCAAGTCTCTTGAATCTCTGTCCAAGGTTCTTTTCATGTTATCATGCTCATGGAGAGAGAACATGACGCAGCATGAATGATAATTTTAGATTTATTTCACAGATGGTAACCTCAAATGGCAATCATTCAGTTACATAGCTACAATAGTAACATTATTTTACCCATTAGTGAAGTCAGTATAGCTCCAGTGCAAGAAGCGAGCATTTGCTGAAGAGGTGTCACTTTGATAATCTGTGGCCCCTCTGATTCAGGATCCATATTTTTAACTGACTGAAGAAAAATCTGTGAAGGAAAAGATGTAAAATAAAAGTTTAATGAAACTGCCCTTAAGTTTGATTGCTATAAATTAAATAAACTATAAAAATAACAACCATATTAGTATCGAAGCACGTTGTTGACCAGTATCAAAAATAAATACTTAAGTTCTATACAAAGGCAATACACAACTATCATTAATAAAATATGTACTCTGATTTTCCAAAAACAACAATGCACTTCAGCTGTGTGAGCAGCAACGTATTTGTAAGACAGGTAAGAGAGCAAAAAGAAAACAGACTCTGGCCATGTAAGAGAATGAAGGCACCTGACCAGTAAGTCTCAGAATTTGTGCATTTAGCCTCAGGAGAACTACTCAGATACTCTAATGGACAGTTAGCAAATATATCACTATTTGTACTGCATACCAAAAGCTGATACAAAGGTATAAAATAAAAACATATAATCTTCAAAAGAAGCATTATCTTAGAAAAATTTGACGAGAAAATATATACTCCTTTGTAAAAAGCCAGTTACTATAACCACTAGCAATATAAGGGTGTCATCTTTTCAAATGTCTATGTACACACAAATACATATATATGTGTGTCCATATGTATATAATATATACAGACACACATGTACATGCAGATTACATAACTGATCAAGTATGTACAAACATTCATAGATCTGTGTACATGCATCTTTTTAAAAATCTTGTTTAAAGGGGTGTCTGGGTGGCTCAGTCGTTAAGCGTCTGCCTTTGGCTGAGGTCATGCTCCCAGGGTCCTGGGATCGAGCCCCGCATCGGGCTCCCTGCTCAGCGGGAAGCCTGCTTCTCCCTCTCCCACTCTCCCTGCTTGTGTTCCCTCTCTCACTGTGTCTCTGTCAAATAAATAAAATCTTTAAAAAAAAAAAAAAATCTTGTTTAAAAATCATAAATAGGTTCTGATGCCTTGGTGGCTCAGTCAGTTAAGCATCTGACTCTTGGTTTCAGCTCAAGTCATGAGCCCAGGGGTCATGAGACCAAGCACCATGTACGGCTCCATGCTCAGTGCAGAGTCTGCTTGAGATTTTCTGCTTTTCCCTCTCCCTCTGCCCCTCCCCCTACTTTTGCAAGCAAGGGCTCTCGCTCTCAAATAAACAAAATCTTTAAAAAAATAAATATTCCTATTGTTTAGTAGCCAGAGTGGACACTTAAAAATATATTACAGACACTGTATCAATAAATATAGATTTACATTATCATTTTTAATACAGTTTTTGATTATATTTAATCAGTCTCATATTGTTAGATATTTATGTTACTGTCAAATCTTCCTTATTCATTTATTCATATACTCTTATATAAGTATCTCCATATACACAACTTTTTGTAGTCTTCCTAGAATTACTATAGAAGAAAAAGTAAGATTGTGAGGCTCAACTAAAAACTTGAGACAAATTGCCAAAATGCTTTCCAGAAAGGATGGACCAATTTACACTTCCATTGGAAATAAATGAATTCCTATTAATCCAGAATTTCACCAAACTCTCTCTCATTACATACCACTTATTTTTTTACGAACAGTTTGAAAGTAGTTTGCATATAACACGCTGTTATTATAATTACCTCAGAATATTCTTGTATTTCACAGTAACATTATCAAATTGAGGAAACTCAGTACTCTATAGTTTATATTCCAATTTTACCAATTATCCCAATAATGAACTTTATAAAAATGAATGGTAGTTTTATTGTTTCTTTAGACTTTTATTATTACTCACCTGGTTTAAGTCTTTTCCTCAACTCTATGCTCCAGTATTTGATTGATTGTAACATCAGTAGCTGAAAATCCGTAGTGAAAAATGAAAGTAATTGTCTTATCTTTTCACACAAGAAATGGAGAACCTAAAGGAAAGGAGCATGTAAAAAAACCTTGGGCGCCTGGGTGGCTCAGTCATTGGGCGTCTGACTTCGGCTCAGGTCATGATCCCAGGGTCCTGGGATTGAGCCCCGCATTGGGCTCCCTGCTCAGCGGGAAGCCTGCTTTCTCCCTCTCCCACTCCCCTTGCTTGGATTTCCTCTCCTGCTTTCTCTCTGTCAAATAAATAAATAAAATCTTTAAAATAAAATAAAAAATTTAAAAACCTTAAAAGACAAATCAACAAATATTTACTGAAATACCTCCTATTAAGTGCTTTAGGAATATGAAGAGCATTCCACAAATGCTCACATTACACTTATTAAACTTCATTTATAAAACTTCATTTAGTATAATAAACTTCAGGGCAGCTGGGTGGCTCAGTTAAGCGTCTGCCTTTGGCTCGTGATCCCAGGGTCTTGGGATCAAACCCGTCGGGGTCCTTCCCCAGAGGAGAGTCTGCTTCTCCCTCTCCTTCTGCCCCTCCCCCTGCTCGTGCTTGCTCTCTCTCTCTCAAATAAATAGAATCTTAAAAAAAAAAAAAAGTATAATAAACTTCATTTATTAAACTTCATTTATAAAACTCCACTCTGTCCCAGTAAATTTATTTTGCTTAAAAAACAAACAATTCTCAAGGTGCCTGGGTGGCTCAGTTAAGTGTCTGACTCTTTTATCTCAGCTCAGGTCTTGATCTCAGGGTCATGAGTTTAAGCCTGGTGTTGGGCTCCACACTGGGCATGGAGCCTACTTAAAAAAACAAAACAAAACAAAAAATTCTAGAAGCTGAACACTCTGATCAATCTTAGTATCATGAGTCAATTAGATTTTGAGACACAAAAGTAACCAGCATTATCTATGAAGTATTTTTTTTGGGAAAAAAAAAAACTTTAATTTTAATCTAAACAATCCATTAGATCTAAGTTCCAATTTATAGAAAATTAAGAGACTAAAGTAACAGGGTAAAGGATACCACAAAACAGGATAAGCTGTCATACGATATAAGACTACTGTCTTGGTTCTTCAACAACTACCATTAAGGTGGGAAAAAGGTAGCAGGAAGGGAGAAATGTTCTAGAAGAAGGGAATCTTCTGAGAGTTACCAACCAAATATATCCTGGTTCAAATAAATAAAATTTTAAAAGTCAGTTTGAGAGTACATAAATCTGAACATGGGCTGGATATTAGATAATATTAAAAATTATTATTTTTTGCTGAGATAATGGTATTATAACAAAATCAGTTTAATACCAGTTATAATGGAAGTGTCTTTTTTAAGAGATTCATACTGTAAATATTAAGGGCTAAATTTTATAATAGTTGTAGTTCACAATACTTCAGAAAAAATAAATATTCTAATGTTAACAGTCTGCTAAATCTAGGTGGTAAGTATACCATAAATATTTTTACTGTTCTATTATTTTTCTGTATATGGAAAAATCTGAACAACAGGATTTTTAGTTTGTGAAACTTAGTAGAATCTTTAGGTCTAAGAAAATACTTCTAACATTCATTTATATGAACATGGTTAAGTGGGAAAATAATATACATATGCTAGAATCTACGTACACTCCTTCTCCAGAAGTAAAAAGTAAAAAGGCCTACAATGCTTTATTTTGACATCCATTCGAGCAAAGTTGTCACCTGGATATGCTCAAACCTGAACTAAAGCCAGAAAAACTGATACAAAAGCAAAAATGAACTCTTGGGACTTCAAGATAAAAACCTGAACAGTGAAGGAAACAGTCAACAAAACTAAAAGGCAGCCTGTGGAATGGAAGAAGATATTTGCAAATGACATAGGTGAAAAAGGGTTAGTATCCAAAATCTATAAAGAACTTATCAAACTCAACACCCCCCAAAACCCAAATAATCCAGTTAAGATATGGGCAGAAGACATGAATAGATACTTTCCCAGAGTAGACATCCAGATGGCCAACAGACACATGAAAAGATCTGTAACTTCACTCATCATCAGGGAAATACAAATCAAAACCACAATAAGATACCACCTCACACCTGTCAGAATGGCTAAAACTAGTAACACAGGGAACAACAGGTATTAGCACGTATGTGGAGAAAGGGGAACCCTCCTACACTGTTGGTGGGAATGCAAGCTGGTGCAGCCGCTCTGGAAAACAGTATGGAGGTTCCTCAAAAAGTTAAAAATAGAACTACCCTATGATCTAGCAATTGCACTAATAGGTATTTACCCGAAGGATACAAAAATACTGATTTGAAGGGGCACATGCACCTTCATATTTATAGCAGCATTATCAACAATAGCCAAATAATGGAAAGCCCAAATGTCCATTGACTGATGAATGGATAAAGGAGATGTGGGGGATATATATATATATATATATATACACACACACACATATATATGCACACACATATATATATATACACACACCCACACACAATAGAATATTAGTCATCAAAAAAATGAAATCTTGCCATTTGCAATGATGTGGGTGAAACTAGAGTGTATTATGCTAAGCAAAATAAATCAGAGAAAGACAAATACCATATGATGTCACTCATGTGGAATTTAAGAAACAAAACAGATGAACATAAGAAAAGGGAAAAAAAAAGAGAGGGAAGTAAACCATAAGAGACTCTTAACCATAGAGAACAAACTGAGGGTTGATGGAGGGGAAATGGGCTGGCAATGGGCTAAATGGATGATGGGTATTAAGGAGGGCACTTGTGTTGAGAACTGGGTGTTACATATTTTTCTACTCCTGAAACCAGTTATCACACTATGTTAACTAACTAGAATTTAAATAAAAATTGAAAAACAAAGGATTAGGGGAACATCCAAGTCAGAAGATAGTAAATCACACACACTTCGTATCAGAATTTTTAGTTTTTTCAAATTTATGTTAAATGCAATCTCATAGTCTTGATTTACCTTCCCCTGCTCAGTAAATGATGCTGAACATCTCTTCACCTGGCAACCACCATTCTACCTTCTCAAGAATTTTACTACTTTAGATACTTATATAAGTGGAAATGTGCAGTATTTCTGTTTCTGTGACTGACTTACTTTACCCAGCATAATACTCTAAAAGTTTAAATATGTATTATATGACAGGATTTCCTTCATTTAAAAGGCTAAATAGGGGCACCTGGGTGGCTCAGTGGGTTACACATCTGACCCTTGGTTTCAGTTCAGGTCATGATCCCAGGGTCATGGAATCAAGCCCCGCATTGGGCTCCATGCTCAGTGTGGAGTCTACTTGAGATTCTCTCTCCCTCTGCCCCTCCCCCTGCTCATGCATCCCTCTCTCTCTCTCTAAAATAAATAAAAACTTTTAAAAAAAGGCTAGGGGTGCTCAGGTGGTTTAGTCGGTTAAGCATCTGCCTTTGGCTCCGGTCATTATCTCAGGGTCCTATGATAGAGCCCTGCATCTGGCTTCCTGCTCCACAGGGAGTCTGCTTCTCCCTTCCTCTTTGCTCCTCCCCCTGGCTTGTGTGCATGTGCTCTCTCTCAAATGAATAAAATATTTTTTCTTTAAGATTTTATTTATTTATTTGACAGAGAGAGACAGCGAGAGAGGGAACACAAGCAGGGGGAGCTGGAGAGGGAGAAGCAGGCTCCCCGCTGAGCAGGGAACCCGATGTGGGGGCTTGATCCCACGACGCTGGGATCATGACCTTGAAGGCAGACACTTAACGACCGAGCCACCCAGCGCCCTCATATGAATAAAATATTTTTTAAAAAATTTTTTAAAGGCTAAATAATACTCTATTATATGTATATACAACATTTTCATTATCATTTCACCTATTGATGGGCAAAAAATTTAGACTGTTTCCACCTCTTGAACTGTGTATAATTCAATGAACATGGGATTTCAAATATCTTGAGATTCTGATTTCAATAATTTTAGATAAATATCCAGAAGTGGGATTGTTAAATCATATGGTTGCTCTATTTTAAATTTTTTTGAAGAACCAAAACCATTTTCCATAGCAGCTATACCATTTTACCAACAATGCACAGGGTTCTGACTTTCCACGTCTCCATCAGCACTTATTTTCTGCTTTTGTCTTTAATAATCGCCATCATAAAAAGTATGAAGTGACATCCTGTGACTTTGATTTCATTTGCCTGGTAATTAGTGATGCTCAGTGTCTTCATATTCCTGTTGGTCATTTGTATGTTTTCTTTGGAAAAATGTCTATTAATGTCCTTTATCCATTTTTTATTCTAGTTATTTGTTTCTTACTGAGTTGTAGGAGTTCGTTATGTATTTTGGATCCTAATCTCATATCAGATGTATGGTTTGTAAATATCTTCTCCCATTCCATAGACTATCTTTTCACTCTTGATTTTGTCTGTAGCTGTATAGAAGAAGCTTTTTAGTTTGATGTAGTCAAAACTGCCTTTTGCAGTTTTGCAAAAGTTTGACAGTAATGTCAGTGCTTTTGGTGTTATATACATGAAATCATTGCCAACATCAATGTTATGAAGTTCTTCCTTATTTTTTCATCTAGGAGTTCTATAATTTTAGGTCTTACAGTGAAGCCATTAATCCACTCGGAATTGATTTTTGTGTGTGGTGTGAGAGAAGGGTCAAAATTCTTGTTAACGTAGTGAAGTTTATCTGTCTTTCCCTTTATAGACAACACCTTTCGGATTCTTCTTTAAGCAATCTTTCTTTACCCAAGAGTCCAGAAGATACCTGCCTACATTCTCTCCCTATGTATTTTAAAGTTGTGCTCCTGACAAATCTTAAATCCTTAATTTATGCAGAATTTTTAAAATAACATGTGAAATAGGGAACCAAGTTCATTTTTTCCCATGTGAAAACAAATACTTTCTCCAAGCTCCAATTTTTTAGAAAGATTTTATTTATTTATTGGGGGGGGGTTGTCTGCTGGGGGAGGAGCAGAGGGAGAAGCTGACTCCCCTGCTGAGCAGGGAGCCCAATGTGGAACCTGATCCTAGGACCCTGGGACCATGACCCCAAGGCAAAGG